ATGAGGATACAGAACTGTCTCACTGTCTCCAAAGAAACCACTCATGCTAAACTTTTATAGTCACACAGTCACCCCAATCCTGTGCCCTACTGACTATTGATCTGTTCTCCATCATTATATTTCTGTCATTTCAAGAATGTTTTATATAAGAAATCACACAGTATGTAAAAATTTGAGATTGACTTCTCTCACTTAACACAATGATTTTGAGAGTCATTCAATCTACTGCATGTGTCAATAGTTCATTCCTTTTTATTGCTGAGTAGTATTCCATTGTACGGATATATCATTCACCCATTAAAGGATATTTATGTTGTTTCAAGTTTTTGGCTACAAATAATGCTGCTGTAAATATTAGTGCAGGTTTTTGCATCACATAATTTTCATTTCTCTAGGGTAAATACCTAGGACTGTAATTGTTGGGTTTTATGGTAAATGTGTCTTCATAAGAAACTGCCAACTGTTTACTAGAGTGGCTATACCATTTTACATTCCCAACAGCAATGTATGAGAGATACAGTTGATTCCACATCCTCTTCAGCATTTGGGATTGTCAGTATTTTCTATTCTAGCCATTTTAATAGATATGTAGTGTTAACTCATTGTGGCTTTAACTTACATTTCACTAATGGCTAATGAAAGCCAAAAGATAACATCTTCTCTTGTGCTTGTCCATTATGCCCACATCTTCTTTGGAGGAGTACTGTTTAAATTTTTTGCCCATTCTAATTAATTTTAATTAATTTTAACTTTAAAAACCACATGTGGCTAGTGGTTACCATACTAAGAAGTGTAGTTTTAGATGATGAGAATGCCGCTTTCAGAAATTCTGACTTAAAAAAACATATGAAGGAAAAAAGAAAATAAGGCAAAACTGAAGATTGGCAGGTTTTAAAAATAAAATTTAACAAACTTGTTATAAGTAATCTTACTGAGAAGGAAAAGTGGTAAAATAATTAAAGAACTAATTAATATTTAGGTCTTTAAGTTTTGAAGGGACACAAACAGCAGCGAGAGAGCGTACCTAATAAAGCCAAACCTCACAGGATGGCACTAATTTCGATGAGAAGTTTACAGTCTAAAATGATTTGAGGTGTTTTTTTTTTTTTTAATGCCAAAAAACAAAGATTACTCTCTGGTATTTGGTTCAGATCTGTGGGTGTCAAATTCTGCCTTTTATTCAAACCATGATTTAACTGATGCCCAATTGTTCAGCTGGAATCCTAGACATGGGATCTAATCCAACTATTCTCAATCAGAGATACACTGTAACTCAGAACCATGATGCCACCTTATATCTCTAAGTGAAAGCTGGACTGCATTAGGTTTGGATTTCCTCTTTGCCACTTAACAGTTGTGTGGCTTTATGTAAGCTGTTTAACTTTCACACTTGTTTCTTCTGCAGAATTGACATAATAATAGTACCCATGTCATGAGGATTAAGTTAACGTGTCAAATGCTTAGAACGATACCTACGATACAGGAAATGTTCAATAACTGTTAACTGTTATAGGTATAATTTACTCATCAAGTATTTTCTCTTCTGAGCCAGGCCCTAGGAGAATGATGCTGAATAATTCATTTATGATGGCTCTCAGTACATTTACTGTTTAATGGGGCAATGAAAGAGGCAAGCACAGTGGGTATCAGGAGTACTAGCGTAGGGCTTCTGTTTTCCCCCATTTTGCTCTCATAATTAAT